TATCTTGAAGCGTTTATATCGCATATATGCTATTGTTTCTGGCGTGAATCGAACTCCTAAAGGATAATTAATCACAAAACCGAAAATGAACATTCACGAAATTTAATCGATATTTAAATACAGTTTATCATGTTCATCGTTTGAAGCGATCTGAGTATTTGATAAAGTACATGTACACTGTATAGATATTGTCACGAATTAACTGAAACTATGCCGTGGAAACTTGTTTTCTGGCATGACCGAGGTTCGAACCCTGCACCTCAAGTTGTTGTGCTATCGCGCTAACCGACTGAGCTACATGTACCTAGTCAACAGAACAGTTGTGTTCAAAACAAAGTTAGGGGTAGTTACACAGAATGTAGTGGGACAGGCATCCTTAAGAATAAACATAAACTATTACGTGTGCGTGTTAAGGTTATGTGCACATATTACCGTAATAGTTCTACGTTACGATGGAACTCTTCGTGGTATAAATAAAAATAAAAAAACAGATCCTTTTCCTGTCTATTTCATTTCTGTCGTGAATTTCATAAGGCAATTTTCCGCACTCGCTGAGTCTTTCCAGAAGACACTTTTATTTGAGTTTGAAAATCGTTTTCTATTAAAGTTATTAATAAAAGCTCGTCCAAACATATTTTCTCTGTCAATCTCCTTGTAGGCATCATACATGCATAATATTGCTCACTCTAAACCGAGCATAATTGATCTATTACAGTGCCACACGGTCTTTCCTTATATCCGCTGTGTAATGCTAAGAATGAGTTACCGAAGCAGACGACAACCACGGCCGTGAAGAAGCCCTAGGTTTCTTGTTCCAGGAAAACTGTTCTAATTCGTTAAAATCAAGTATCACTTTTTAAATAGTTTGTCTTGTGATGTGTGGTGACACTCAAATAAAATAGATAAGTTCAAGTCTCAAGTTTTTTTTAATTTCCGAATGCAATTCCAAGACGGCGGGGGACAATTCCATATTAGCATTATCACATAAAAAAGAAAACACCCTTAAGCAATATTACTACACGAGGGTTTTTGTTTTGGCAGTAGCATATTTTGAATAAATACCCAATCTACGTAATGTTTTAATATTTTTACATGACAATAATTCAATTTTAATACACACTGGGGTTTCGGTAGCTATATTGCTTAATAAATGTGTTTCTCAGTATAGAATAAGCAGGACAAATAAGAATAAAATGTATCTCATATTCTATATTTGTCGCAAGCTAAACATATTCTTTGGTCTCTCGGAACCCCATTATAGCGTCCAGATTCGATTTTAAGGGAATACGCCTGCATGCGATACTGACTCAACGATTTATTGGTAATAGAAGTTAAAGGCTTTACTAAATAAAATTGAATATTAAAACTATCGACAAGATGTTTATAAAAAAAATAACATTTAGAAGATGTTTCAAACGCACCACGTAATTCTTGAATAAATACGTCATGCAGGCGTTGAGTATACATTTCCACAAACTGTTTTTTTGTTTAGCGATTCCCCTTGTAATAATCCGACATGTATATCGAACATAGCAGATAATTTACCATTTAATTTTATGCAAGAACGTACATTATCATAAATGGATCTAATTACATTTAGCAGTCTACCGCTATCACCACTTTTCCAAAGTTTATACCAAAGTGTATCATGTGTTACACTATCAAAGCCTTGCTGTAATCTACAAATACACAGTACAGGCTTTTATTTTGTTCTATAGTATTAATTATTAAACTATGTAATGTAAAATAGCATCCCTGGTACCAAGCCCAGGTTTAAAACCAAATTTGACATCGGTAACAACATCCTGCCTTGCACTCCATTTTAATAATCTTTTATTTACCAAGGAAGTAAATAACTTAGCTAGATGACTAATTAATGTAATTCCCCAGTAATTATTGACATTGTTTCTATTCCCCTTTTTATGAAAAGGTATAATAACACCCTGCGCCATGGACTCTGGAAAATATCCTACATGTAACATAGAATTAAATAATCTGGTCTATTCAATTATGTATCCGTTAAATAACATATCAACACCAGTCGACTTGTCACGAGACAAACCCCTAATTACTTCTATTAATTCCTCAATTCTAAAATCCACATCTAGCTCAGGATACACACACTCGGTATTTCTATCATTCATGCTATGACCTCGACCGTCGACAATAGGTACATCAGCGAGACCCTTGAAGTATTGAAAAAAAATCGTTAACGATAAATTACCTGTATCACAGGCGTTCCGCTTATATAAATTACCTGTATCACAGGCCTTCCGCTTAGATAAATTACCTGTATCACAGGCCTTCAGCTTAGATAAATTACCTGTATCACAGGCCGTCCGCATAGAAAAACTACGGTAAAATTCTGTAGGATTATTACGCTTTATCAGATACAGCATGTTCCCTTCCATTCTCAAATAGGTTCGCTTCAACTTCCTCTCTCCTACTTTATACTGTTTCTTGGCTTGCGCAAGGCTTACCCTGTTTGTCAATGACCGGTCTACATTAAAACTAGTGTTTATGTATTAATATTGTCCTTGTTGAAGGCAGATGCCTGAGGCGTGACATGTTTTCCAATGGCGAATCATTATGTTTCCCGAGGGCTGCGACCTTCGGGTACATTTCATTTTCTTTATTTCCATAGGAGTTACAATATACATGTACATACAAGTAAATATTACAATCCATTTATGTAAGATGGCGGAGAACATAGAGTAAGATAAAAGATGACATCATAGCAATGATGACAACATACAAAAGAAAATATATAATCATTGTCGGTGGCACAAAGCTGGAACATACACGATTGCTCAGATATTAAGTATAGACTTTCTTTTAGAAGTAGCCTGAATTAGATACTTACTAAGGTTTCTCAATTGTTTTACAATTTTGCAGGCGAATAATTGTATTAATTTATAGACGGAAGGACGACGGAAATAATAGGGTTTAATAAATTTGGTTCTAAGCTCCGAGCATAAACTGGACACAACAAAATAAAATGGGTTTCATCCTCGACATCGTTTCTATTGCAAAGCGGACACCGCCGTTGAGCTCTAGGTATACCATTATACCTGCCTGTTTCTATACTTAGTGTATGAGATTGTAACCTATACTTACCTAGGATATTTTTACACTTATAAGTTAGTGACTTGGTGAGGTAGAACTGCATGTCATAATGATCTACGATATATTTATACAACCTACATTTGGAGGAGATTTCAAACATGCTTCTTACTTCTTGGATAAAAGTATCTTGTAAACGTTGGGTGTATAAAAATACGAAATGTTTTTCATTAGAAACACACTGAGCCAACCAATCATCATGAAAGCCAATTCTACATAATTCATGCTTGACTTGATAAACAAAATTAGTTTTACAATTTGGTTTTTTAAGATTTAATTCGACAAGCTCATCGTAACAAGATCTCAAAATACAATTGTCAGTTTTCAATAATTTTAACCAGTACTTTATAATGGATATTTTACGCTTTATCTGTAAAGGAAATCGACCTAACTCAAAGTAAACCATAGAATTATTTACAGACTTTTTTACTCCGAGAACTTCTTTCAGGAAATGCAAATGAACTTTTTCAATTTGTGTTGCAGGATAGAACCCCCAGACTTCACAAGCATAGTTAAGTAAACAAGTGATATAAGTGTCGAATAATGACAATTTAGTTTCACAGTTTAACATAAAATTCCTTTTCAATAAAAAACAAGCTTTTCTACCCTTGGCAGCAATGTTATCCAATGCTAAAGTAAAGCTGCCATTATAATTGAATACTAGCCCCAGATAACAAAAATTGTCTACTATTTTAATAGGCCTACCATTGTATGTCCATTTCTCATTAGGTAAAACACGTTTGTTTTTTCTGAATATCACTACTTTTGTTTTATCCACATTTACCTTTAAATTCCAGCGTTCAGCATAGGAATGCAAGTGGTGAAGCATATTTTGCATATCGACTACGTCCTCGGAAAACAAAACCGTGTCGTCCGCATATAGTATAATAAAAATATTGATCAACTGTAACTGATAACTCTGACAATTTGAGTTAATTAGTTCTAACTCCATATCATTAATAAATAATGAAAATAAAATAGGGGATAAAGATTCCCCTTGTAATAAACCGATCTGGAGGTCGTACGTGGGAGACAATTTACCATTTAATTTGACGCAAGCTTTGACATTATCATAAATAGATCTTATGACATTTAACAGTCGACCCCTAACCCCTGACTTCCATAACTTAAACCATAATTTGTCATGTGATATGCTATCGAAAGCCTTTTGACATGACAAGCCTCGGGTAAAATCAAAATAATGCACCACCAAAGGACAGCGAAACTGTATCATGTTGATAAGTAACACGATATTGAGTACGTATTTTTTTATTTTATTTTTTAACGTGTTGACCCTTGTTTTGTTAAAACCTTGCAGTTCATGATAATAGTAATTACATGTTTATAGTTATAATGACATTTTCCTGAGAAAAATCCGATGCTATCGAAGTTCTATCAATACGTAGATACAATGAGTGGACAGACATGTTATAGTATAACTTATATCTTTGAGGATATTGCTATGTGTCATCCCCATGTTTCATACAACATCATTTCTTTAATACCTAAAATATAAGACCGTTCTTGTACCCCGTACAACACAGTAAAGCGGTTAGTGTTGTATGGGTTCCGGGTTGCCATTGTAGTAAATGGAACATAGTCTACAATTGTCCATTGATGTGATTTTCCCAGACAGTGTCCTGTAAGGCACGTACGCTAACACAATAACATGTCATTTAGAGAGATTACCACGGTCAATACTTTTCTGGACCTCGAAGAAATGGGCTGCACTAGCTGAATAAGGAACTCAATAAATTTGAAATGAAGCAGTATTTGAACGATTTTTAATCCAATTTGAAAAAAAAAGAATTACGTTCGATACATTAGAGTCACTTCTACCAGGAAATTAAAAATCCCGAAACACAAGTCTTTATCGTTTTGATAATTATGAAAATGTCAGATACAAGTAGTCCATGCTTGATGCTTGAGACCACGGATTCTCTGTTGCTCAAATAAGAGATTAACTTACAAACATGATGAGGCAAATATTTTATTACGTATATTTTCAAAAATATTTAAATGAATAAGTAAAGCTACAAGTGTGGGAAAACAATCATTTATAAGGAAAACACTATTCAAAAGCATGTGAAAGCGTCAAGATATTTCTAAAAAAAAAAAAAGATTTTGAAAATGTATATCGACGGGATGGAATGATAACTATGTTTAGAATATTGGGACAAAAAAACTGAAAGGCATGAAGATGCATATTATTTATTTTTATTTTAATTATCTGAATTCGTAATATTTTCCTAAACATAATCATTGTCGTGACGTATTCATGGATTTAAAGAGATCGCTGTACGACAAAAACAAATGTAATAACACTATTGATTTTTTTCATTTTCTTCGGAATAAACAATAAGAAAAAATGACGTCATTTCAATGTAGTTTAATACAAAAGCAGCGATTCCAGAATGGCACCAGCAAGTAATCAATTTCACTTTTCCTTGACAACAAATGTCACTTCGTTGTATCATTTGTTTACATGCGAAGCTTGAATCAGATAGATAATACGACTGTATTGGTTTCTTGGAGTGGAAATATAGCATTAAAACCAAGCGTGGCCACGAATAGCGACAAAACAAAGCTAAAATCATAGTTACCATATGCATACATACATGTTCAATGATGCGCAATCTATACTGGGTTTTATTATTCTAAATTCCAATTTGATTTTCCAAAAAAATAATCCTTAAAGACCCCCATAACGCTGCCAAAAAATGCAACTACGCATTGGAAACAGGTTTTCTGGCACAACTATAGCTTTGATAAAGCGTTTCTATAAAGCATGGCTTTTATAAGAAATGATAAAAACAAAATAAAACAAATTATAATCAGCAATGGTCTGCAAGTAAAATTTCTTCAGTGCAATACCGGATTTAAAACCCTGCACTTCAGTTTGTTGTACTATCGTTCTAACCGACTGAGCTTCATTTTCAACGTAAATGTCTTGACCCAGCTGTGCTACAGTTATTAAGAGGAAGTTAAGAGGAGATTGCTATATGTACGGAAAAACACATTGCAACGGGACAGATATCCTTAAAACACTACAAAGGTGTAGCTTTATTCCATTGCAATGTACACATGAAATCGTCCTTGCTGTAAGTATCGTTTTATAAAACGGTATAATAGGATCTAACATAATATAAACTCAATTAGGTCGAGAACCTATAGCTATAAGTAGTTTGGTATTAACATTCTGGTTTACGTTCAAAATGTATTTACAAAATGGCAGCTATCCAAAAAAAGGCATCTATTCAATTTTCACGTTCTCTTGACCTGGTTTATTTTCCTACAAAATGAAGTTGCACAACTGTTGCCGTATTGAAGACCAATAGAAAAATAATACAGTCCATTGGGAAATGAGGTCGCCAGTTATAATCTAGACAGGATGGAATTGAACGCGCTAACAACATCTCTGCAAATGGAATTGATTTATCAGTCGATAGCACGACAGTTTTTGTGACACACATCACAACTGAAAACTCTCAGTCAATCGAACAACAAAACACTAGTTTCTACAAAACATCACAAACAAAAACAAATAGTCCCAATTTTCCTTTCACTCTCTCAATGTTTGTGCTTCGTATCATTCAACGCACAAAGAGTACAGTTGTTTCTGCTATCTGTTCGCGGACTGGGGATTCTATCGAATATTTTAACACTCCCAGAAAAACTCATTACCGGAGCAGCCCGACGCGCAAGTCCGTAACCGGAAGTGTTTGTTAAGTACTTCCGCTGAGTTGGAACACTTCCATTAACCCTCCTGTTTTTGTGTATATCCGGCAGTTTCCTGTCCTTTTGTTTCAATAAGTCATAAGAGGTGGAGTTAATGTACGGATGAAAGTCAATTGGATCATCCGGGTCTTTTGTTATATAGAACGACCCACGAGAGGGCGCTCTGCTGTTTTCCTCGGTATTTCCGAGGGATGGCGGATGTGGTATCGTGTCAACACGACTATCAACTCTGTCACTGTGTGGTCTTACATATGGTTTTGAGATGATTGTTAAATTTGGTGAAGCAGTGCGTTCCGTCAATTGACTATTTTTAGATAATCTGGATGCACGTGACGTTGCAGAACCAATTCGTTTTAAACTATTCACTTCCCAAGCCTCCTTGATGGCCATTTCCCCAGGGGTCGAGAAGTTTCGGCTCACCCGGCCTTCTGATGGCTGTCGTGATGCCGAAGGCGTCGCGTTTGGCCTGTATTTCCCGAATATTTCATCGACGGGCTGAGAACATAATGATTTCAGCCACGTGGTGTTTGAAAAACCCGAAAGTTTGGTTTGAAACTTTTTATCTACATAATAGTAATCGAAATTTTTCTTGCGTGCGTGTCGAAATGGAGATTTGAATTTTGATGAGACCTTCGTTCCTGGTCGATGTATGGTATGTCTTGGTGTATTTTCTATCTGGCTACAGTCTATGGACACAAATTTAAGACTTTCTGGGATCTTGACATGATGGAGCGGTCGTTTGGCTTCGTACATTGGAGTAGACACCGGACACTTGTAAAGTGATCCGTCTGCCGGAACGGGTGACAACCGAAAGACGTCATCTTGTACAACCGGAGGTGGTTTCATCACGGCGGTATCCCTGGCCCCGTTGGTCGTCATCACCATCTGTAATTAAACATGACGTCATTAATTATGGCATTATAATGAACACTTACGTCATTAATAATTAACATCTACCATGCTCGTCAGGTCAATCAATATTTCAGTACATTCTTACTAGGTGACCTGGTACTGTGACCAGCTAGCATATGATAGCTAGTCACAGTACTAGGTCCCAGGACGGCTAGTCATAGTATCATGTCACATGATGGCTAATCACATTACCAGATCACATGATCGCTAGTCACTGTACCAGATCACATGATGGCTAGTCATAGTACCATGTCATATGATATTTAGTCACAGCAGCATAGCACCTAATGGTTGGTTGTAAAACGAGATTGCATGCTAACTGGGCACAGGTAAAATGATGGCTATTCATAATAACAGGTCACATGATGGCTAGTCACATTATGATGTAACATGGTGGCTAGTCACAGTACAAGGTCACATGATGGCTGGTCACAGTAACATATCCCACGATGGCTAGTCACTGTACCAGGTTACATGATGGCTAGCCGAAACCAAGGCTCGTGCTGGTTTATGAGAATCAAATGACGTGAACCACTTCACACATGCAAGTCATATTCGATGTTCTCTTGTGAAATGAATTAAATTTATTTGTATGTTTTGTTTGATACCCGGATTACTGCTTCAATTAATAGCGGATTCTCCTCGGTTACTGCAGAATAAAAACTAATTTCTTTCAGCCACGAATACGAGTTCCGGAATGGCTCGAACAACTTTAGCTCCGATTGTCAATTTAGTTAGGATATAAGGATAATAGCGTTTCTTCAATAAGAACTGATTAACGTTGATGAAAGAAATTCGTTTTGAACAACGATGTTTGAGCCGATCACGGTAATAATTCGTTGGTGGTTTGACTTGTGTACGTATATACAATGTAATTATATAAAGAACCACCTGAGCTTATAAGATTGTATTTCATCAATAGAACGAACAAATAAGTATAAAAGCTTATCGATCTAATATATTAGTTGACAATGCCTTCTTATTCTTTTGAATTAGGAAGAAAACGTTTTTCTGATATAACAGAAATATTACTGACGAACGACTTAGCCAATTATTTTGATGTAGATACAGATATGCTTCTCTGTAAGTGTAATTTAGAAATTCGAAGTCTTATTTTGTATTCAAAAGCAGATATTATACACATACAACTGTATATAAATACTGTACATATATTTCCCATAAAAAACTTAAACCTTGTCGAATTCTGCAGATAACCGATATGTGTTACCTTATATGTGCTTGAGGTCTTAAATCCACTCTCAGCTTTCCGAGGACTCATTTTCATAGGAGACTTTGGAAAAGTATGACCTGCTGTCTTTGTCGAAACTGACATTTTCTTGTCAATATTTTAAATGTCCAATTAAAGTATACAGTACATTTAATAAATTATAATTCACAGTCGGTATCTATTGTACACAAATTATACACCGGACTTTAAATTATTTTAAACTATATCGATACTAAACGTCTTGGATTTCACATGTATCATACGACGCACATCTCGAACAATACAGAGCCATATTTGGTTACCAATTAACCGGTAAGCTACAAACACGCCTTGTCATTTGATATCCTAATTATTCTGTACATAGCTAAGGGTTCCTAATACCCTACCGAACAGCCGAATGTATCTATTCTATACACGTGTATGTATATTACGACATATTTGTACCTATTTGTATTGCTCATCGGCACGTTTAATAAAAATTCAAATCGTCTTTTATCAAAAATGGATTTGTCTTATTTTTAACGAAAAAGAAAATAATAGAGGGGTGGGGGTGGGGGGNAACTGCGGCAGTGCGGGTAGAAACGTGATCGATTCTAATTTAACCTTAATCCTTCATTAAGCTTATAAAACATCAAACACATGGATTATCAATGTCTTTTAAACTACAGAGAGGTGTACCCCTAGATACTGTACATTAACGTCACGTGTACCCCCACAGTACAGTATACTATCATTAATGTATCCCACTGGTGGTCAGTACTGCTGTACTTAAATTACTCACTCTAGACAATATAATAACAGTACATTATACTATCATTAATGTATCCCACTTGTGATCAGTACTGCTTTACTTAAATTACTCACTCTAGACAATATGATAACAGTACATTATACTATCATAAATGTATCCCACTTGTGGTCAGTACTGCTGTACTTAAATTACTCACTCTAGACAATATGATAACAAAAGGTCCCATGGGTCTGTATCGCTCACCTGTATTTTAATTCTGTTGGCAAACAAGTCTTATACATGTGACCTTCAAAGTGGGTCCATGTCAAATATAATTAATCTATTCCTGATGGATCTTTCTTGGAAGTTCAAAGTTGGTCTACGTCATCCATTTGGACAAAGTTGACAGCTCTTCACATATCTAGATACCTGTCAACAACCATTACCCTCTGCCTGTTCGTTATTCGCAGGGCGTTTTATCAGGTTTTAACATATTTGACCATGTGACCTTGAAAGTGGCCCCTTTGACATTGAAAGTAAGCCGATGGTCATTAATATGAGAAATATTTATGACTCTATATTTCAGACATCTAACAGTAAAATATCATGACCATATACCTCACGGACCCCGGTAAACGCTTTAGTTTACACTGAAGAATTGCACTGATGGCCTACTTAGCATAATATTAGCGAAAGATCATGGTTCTCATGATGACGGTTTAATTTTTAACATTTGACGCTTGTGACCTTCAGAGAAGGTCAAGGCTATTACCACGGATGCACTTGCAGTACTCCATTCAGGTAAATACTGGCAACACATCTCGATCCTGAGCCTTACGGAACTTAAGAAGAAGAATTTAGAAGCATCTAGCCCACGTTGACCTATGACCCCGTCCAGTGGTCAGAGTTGCTGCTTTACACAATACCTGAGAAGAAGATTTGTAATGATGTCTACATTACTTACCCGTGTTGTACCTTCGACAATGTACCGCTACATGTAACAGTTGACCTTTGACATCAACACATAACGATAGAATAATATCGAACTATTGGTCTAAATAGCAAAGCCAAGTATCAGTGATTTTACCATAGAAGCATTTAGATAATGAAGTTTCAATTTTTAACACATTTAGAATTTGGACAAACTCAGGAACCATAATAACACTCCATACTGGTACCTGAAGAGAAAATTCATAAAGTATATGAAAGATCTTAGTCAAATGTCCTATTTAAATTGACAATGTTAAACAGCGTACCAGTAAACAAACCTACAGTGATTAATTTAAATCGAAATGTCCTCAATTTTTCAATGTGTGATCATTGAGAACGGGAGTAAGTGTGACTAGCGCAGTGGAACCTTGACATAAAGCTGTGAAGTAAAACAACTGAAAAACATCAATAATAAAACACCGAAAAAAACGAAAATGAAAATAAAAACAACCGCCCTGAGTTACACTCTGACAATCACTCTTATGTCGGCCCGACTGAAATCACACGGTTCTGTAAGAAGTGAGGCGACCCCGGTATTTCAGTCCCAAACTCACTCGTACATCACAATAATTGCCGGGACGCCCTCTGGTTTATTGTCTCAGTGAGCGCTCCGCAACAGATGAAAACTAACTGAGGTTTTCGTCGCCACAGTTTAGAGCCATAAAAGGTATTGTCAGAATGGTTACAGAATGCTGGTTTTTTTTACGGCGCCACATTTGGCGAAGGCGATCGATTGTCTCTCATTGACGTCTATAATGTTCATGAGCTGTTAATATCTTACTGGGGAACAGGACAGGTTTTAACTAGCAATATGTTACAACATAAGGAGTTTACCCATTCTGTTTATGATAGGATTGCTACAGCCGTGGCGTCATGTCATGGAGCGAATAGTAGTTAACTAGAAATAACCGTGTCACAGCATCAAGCTTCAGTGTGTACGTACAGTTTACAGTTTAAAGTTTGGCATTTTGCTTAACCCGTATTTTGTGGTATAATTATATTCAAACAGCTTTTATACTTATACCATAGAACATGTACTGTAGTTATCTATATAAATAGATGTATGTCATAAATCGACATTTTTTCTTGAGCGTTCGACTTATTATTTCGAGCGCTCATGTAGCTAAAGAGAAGAGACTCATGAAGAGATTCATACGTAAAGTCTAAATCGAGCGCTCGAGATAATTAAAGTAGAAATAAAATTGTTAATGTCCTAAATGTACCACCGTACTTTATGTTTACCCTAGTTGATGTATTTGCTGTATGTTTCATGCTGTTTGAAATAGAATGACTGATATTTGTTACTAATTTTCATATTTCTGTCGTAAAACAGCTCCGCAAAGCCGGAGACGTATATACTACACTGGCTTTATACGTCTCTGACATAGCTATACGGTTTAATATTTGCTGTACACGTCACTAAATGAAGTGTTTTGAATCATGAATCTTAAAAGAACAAGGATGAAATCAGTGGCCGAAATATTCCACCAACGATCCGCTATAACACACAATCGTTATAAAAGGTACATGATCAGAGGAGTATTCTCCAAAGCAAAAGGAGTGACATCATGAAACCCCGCAAGGGAGAAGGGGGGCGAAAACAGGTGTTCCATGATGACAAACATATCCTCCTTCACCTACACGTAATATTTTAAGATTGCGAACCATATCCCACATAACTCTCAAAATGCACCCTGATTATTCCCTAAGTATTCTACTGGTATAAAATAATAATAAGTAATAAATGTTTATCTGCTTCCCGATATAACGTATTCAATATTACTTTCCTGTCGTCTACTTCTTCGAAATCAAATGGTTCCGTTGTCAATAGACATATCTTTAATCCCTTGAAATATGAGAACCCTAGGGGGTTTTGTCGTACATCTGAGGTAACGAATGGCTATTAAGTGATGTGTGTGATCGAAATTACTGGCGGTGTTAAATTTCCATAATACTACCCTCTGTTACTCGTGTTACGTAATGTTTGATTAATTCTATTCCACATTACTAGCACATTTGTAATTATAACAGAGACTTGAACGCCAAAGAAGGTATTAGAATATTCGTGTTTTTTGCTCCTTATACTACATACAAGGTCGAATTGAAAGTGGGCCTATCTTCCTCAGTTTAAATGACTGTTTAATGAATAAACAGGTCCAGTGTATGGTTTTTATATCATATGTAAGTGAAACTGTTAAACTTTCCTGGTCAGTCAATGCAGAATAATAATTGCGTCATTATGAGAACAGTACTTGGACCTTTATAACTAAATATAACTCTTTAATTAAGAAAAAAAAATCAAAGCTGGTACTTTTCTTTATTAAAAAAAGTCGTTTGAATCCCCTTCAGGATAATATGTTTTACAAAATGAGAACCATATTCGAGGCTTGTGAGGAAGAATATGTTGTTGTATATCGGACGCTAGGTATATTACTACTTTCAGTACGAACTTTATGATATAGATGATATTTTATGGGTTTCCTTTGAATCACATATATATTTCATAAATAAGGCAGACTATAGTTGTTACGTCGATGACAGTTAATTGTGTCCCGTTGGAAAGCATATATATTTCATAAGTAAGGCTGAATACGAGTAGTCTATCCGTATTGACTAACAAGCGATGTCATTGGTGACAGATGAGAAATCGACAACCACCGAGATGATTGACGTGTCCCCCTCCTAACAATACCTAAACAATCTCCAGGCAATTACACCTAACACCTGCTGTATCAATAATGCACGGGTAATGACAGTGACTGGTACAGCTAATCAAGGTCTGTTTTACGTATAGATAGGACTGCCCGGTAATTCTCTGCTAACAATTTGAAAGGACTGACTTGTTCAAAAATTCAAGTATTATCTAGTTTTTATGTTATGATTGTGTTGGCTTTATCAAATAAGATATTGTTTAAATATAACTCTTTTCACTTTTTTTCTACTTATATATGACCTATATTCTAACCTAGTGATATTGAATGGACCCGAAAATGCTTCGGATGCATTATTTGGTTCTTTTCAACGCCATTTGATGTTGCTGCCACTCATAAGCCTTTAAAGTATCACCAAAATGAAATGTTACAATTTGTTCAATGAGCATGGCATCCTATATAGCTAGCTCGTCACACTTTACTGACCATGCGCTAACCCTATGCTTCTTTTACAAAGTCCAATCTCAATTACGTTTCAATTCATTGCATTCAATTCAAGATGTCACAATAAAATTGATAGTAAAATCAGAACAATCATAATAGGTAGCGTCAGCGTACCAGGACAATATAAACCGATGATACAAGACAAAACGACAAAACGATTATTTGAAGTACATACGAAGAGACAGCACAAGGAATTAAGAAGACATAAAAAAGAAGGACAACAGGATTATAGGAGACCAAATATCAAAAGGATAGACAACAACAGGAACCAAGGAGATACCGATACCAAGACAACATGTCATGCATTGTGAACACTACTAAACACTTGAAGACGATTCTAGAAAATGGAATGGTGATCACCATGTGTATGTCGTCTGTCAAATCAAAGAGGAAATGTACAGTGAAAATAACCGACAATCTTAGATAAAGGGAACTTTATTATTAATGGAAGACACGGAAATGTCATGGTTAAAAATCAATAAAATTTCGTCTACGTGAATTGAAGCCCCTCTGAAAGAAAACGCTGTCCACAAAATGTCTACCCAGAAAATTAAGTCAGGCTCTGGAGTAGCTAATCATCTGTGACACGAACACTTCATCAGCCATGCAATCTGGTTTGTTAATTCTGAGGACAGGAATGTCGTCACATTTGCAAGAGAGTGTGTCGTGTTGAGGTCAAAATTAGGTTGAGATACTGCACATATAGGTAAATGTTAAGACATGAAGAAGAAAGAAAGGAATCCGTTGTGACTCAATCATCTTATCCAATGCCATATCTTCATGAATGTCTAAATATGACATTAGAAGACCAGACAAATATCTCATCACCATTTTCTTAATAGCTTTCGTATGAAGTCAACATGAAATGAATACAAAAAGCAGGCTGTCTAATAAAAGTACATCGAAAAATCAGCAGACATGTTGTGTGTTGACCAAATAAATTATCGTACGTATCACCATCTATGCATTTTTATCATTTCTATTGATATTTCACGGCTGGTTTTAGACAGAAGGGACTGATGTGCCAAATGTGTAGGCACTAATCATAAGTTTTACACGAACGTCATGGTAAAACAATGTACGGGGTATAATATGTGGAAATTGTAGATTCTATTAAGATTCCACGTTCTACAGAAGATTAAACATTCCATTGATGCCTCTACATGAAAACTAGATGTCGTAATATCTTTGAAGTTGTCTTTAATTGTCGTTAGTTTGATGGTTAAATGTTTGCAAAGTTGATAAGTTGCAAAAATGATAAAGTTACAACAACCTTTTATATCAAAGGCCTGTAAGCAGTTAAGGGATCAAATATAGGAGCAAAATACAGGATTTGGATGGTAAGTACAGCTTAATTATTAATACTATTCATATTTTAATATCAATCATGCAGTATACAGGGGAGTTTGATATATTCCCCCTCGTATCATTTCCTAACCCAGTTACTGCCACCGTTTTACAATGTTCCACCTCGTCTAAACATTTACAAGATGTCTCCCTCGACATATTGACAAAATTCTTTATAATGTCAGTTTAACAAATAGAACCACTGGATATAGAATATGAAATGACATATTCACTCATGTATTTTTGGCAATGGCTTAAATGCGATGTTGTAAAAAACACAGTTGATTAATTATACAATGATAACCAGACTTTTTAAGCAGATCACGATTCAGTGGGTTATAAAATTACATATGCTAATTACATACGGGATTTTAATCTGCTGTGTATACAATTATATTACTGCATGATACTATTGAGGTGGTATCGGAACCCCACTCTCATGACCAGGAACACGATCAGGGACTCGATCACGGGTATATCACGTATACATACTACGATTACTAGGGATTTACGGCATGTTTATAGCTAGACTTCTGACTAAATCCGTTTTTGATTTTTAATAAATGTAGATAAATAGAATATCAATTCAGTCAACTCCAGAAATTGACCCTATAGCACAAATCCAAACACGATAAAATAATCCTGTGACTAAGACCTTCATTCCTTAATAAATATTCTAAAAGTGAATGGCGTCAGTTCTGTTTATTAATATTTTAGGAAGACGGCACAATTAGTTGACCTTAATACGTGTATAACAACAGAGTGCGAGTATGTTTCTTGCTAATGAATATGGAAAGAGTTAATATATTCTTGTCTATATACATGTTGTACAGATATTGATACAAACCATCTTAGCTGTGGTCAAATATCGCGCATAAATCCTTTTTTACTATTCGGTATCGCTCGGACACATCTAGTCAATATGCTGTAAAATTCGGTCGAGGAAATTGTTAAATTGGTTTCAATTAGTATTCTTACCTTTTTATGGGATTGCGGTAAGTCCAGATGTTTAAAAATCCATTTTGTGTTTGTGTCCTCATGGAGATTTGGTTTCTACATTAACCCAATAATAACTCCGTGTTAAAACATAAAACGTAATCGATGTTATGTTTTACCTGTAAGCAGGTAAACGCGCTACTCGGACAATGACGCCCGGGATTGTGTGAAGATTAAACTCCACCCGGCAGTCTTAACGAGTGTTACACTTCATACCTATAACGCCAGCAATACATACCTGTACATGTACACACACAGAGGCACTGTACTGTATGTAATCCAGGTATGTTGTTACACGTGTGTTGACACCAGAGAGCTTAGCTAGTGCTCAGCAATTGACCTGGTCAGTCTTCATTAACGCTTAACTTATGTATACCGATATTATATATAGGCCTCTTCTGATTTGATTTTAGAAATGTTTATCATTTTATACACATAGGCTTTCCAGAGCTGGTAGCCTGAAAGTTAAATATTGTTAAAACGTTTTTAAAAAAATGGAACCAAATAACGATTTTGCTTTTAACCCGTGGGTTAAAGTATTTAAATTTCAAATTGGAATTTTGGATCCCGACAAGGTCAACCTGTACTTATAGTCTGGGTTAATTGGAGGTAAATATAGTACAAAAGGTACCACACAGATACATTCAAAATACATAAGTCTCTAAAGTGGGGATCTAGTTACTCTTTCCGCTTTGAAATCGACAAATGTTATTGACATTTTAAGGTGTCAATTTCGCATTATTGAACGAAAGCAAACAGGACCATACACCACGGACTGTGTGCTTGCGGTGACTGTTAACGATGACTTGTAATGAACAAATCTGGCAGACAAATGGTTTCTAGAACGGCCTTAGAACGACTTCACCATCAGATCATGGTATAGTCTGTTTATTAGAATTGACATGTACATGTCAACTGCGTGGGGAGTATATGTACTCATTACGACTGAACAGACGGACATTACCCCACACAAGGGGAACCAGAGCGTTCAAACACATTTTAACAATGGATTAGTCCAACTTTTTACGCCAATTTGTTCGCAGTGTCAGGAAACATCGAGTTTCATTTGATTTTGTTTAAAAGTACGGATTCCTTCCATTCATATTTTAATATTGACATGCCACTTTTTTTCCTATATTGCGTTTGGAAACAGATCTTAATAGACAAGCTATTTTTAAATCACGAACAAGAATTTTGTTTTACAAGTGGTTGTGATTTCGTGAACGCGACTTTTCAAACGGAACACAAACATTCTTAACTATGTGAAATAAAATAGGAAATTTAAACGTTTTAATACAAGTGCAAATGAAAACAAGACTTTGTATTCAAAGGGAAACAGATATGTTAATGAAACACGATACAGATCTAGGGAAACATTGTTTTTTATATTTGATATTTTTAAAATAAAGGTACTTTATTATCAGACTGAAAAATAAGTTCAGATTTCAGGTGTCTTGCCTGCGTTGTATAAAACAACATTATTATTATATTATATATATATAATTGTATTGGCCGAGACTTCTGAACAGAAGAACAGAAATTTAAGCAAATTTCAATAACCAAATGTAATTATCCATACATACCCATCCTTCAACAGATTTTACATCCTTATATATTTTCTCAGACAAGGGCTAAAGAGAAATACAAAGATGAGACTTTTTCTCTTCTTTTTTTTATTTCTTTTTTTTTTTGAAGATTTTTTGAACAGTACATAATACATTTACAATTCATTTTTCCATGAAACATACACACACTCATTTCCATTTCTAGTCATTAGCAAAAATTCGAACACTATATAAAAGATACATAACTTTTATTTTACGCTCTATGTAGTTAATAGTGTAGCTGCATATAATTATGATATGTACTGTTTTTAAGAAAGAAAATATTGAGAAAGATAAGAATTAAAGGAAGAATAGAAACAACATAGAGAAGGAGAACTTGAATAAGAGGGAGAATGGGTTCATGCTGACATGACAAAGGACTTTGATGTATTTATTAAAAGAAATAACTCATTCATGGGTAAAGTCTCTCATTATTGTTATTTTTATTATAATATTATATCAATATTAATATTGCCAGGGACTTTTACCAGTTTGAGATGAGACTTGGCCCAATCCTCTTACATAACATATACAGTTAAGAGGATAAGTTTATGGTATTATTTCATTTATGCTATAGGTTAGACTATCAGAACAAACACAAAATTAAAATGTCCATATTCTTGGTTTTACAAACGCAAACTTGCAAACCACAAAAAATGATCATTATTAAAATGCTATATAAAAAGGGATATGTTCTAATTTTTCATTCCTCATAAGGTCTCTTTCCTCAAATAATCTAAAATCTCAGCTCAATCTAATATTTCTCCAGATATAGAGGTGTTGACTACCGCCCTACAGATAAATATAAATCTCCAAGGTAGGGTTAATTAAATGTATATTGTGACACTACATTTGTTGTATCTTGATTTGTTAACAATGGGGACTTCCTACGATATACTTAATCTGTGGGATATCTCCCGATACTGTATCAATCGATACCGTAGATCTTCACGTCTCACTGAGAACAGTTTGTGTCAATCGTCTGTACTGGGCAAATAGATACATGTGGTCGTTAGTGTTCTGTATGTAATAGTAAACCCTACTGTACGTTATGTATGTAATAGTAAACCCTACTGCACGTTCTGTATGTAATAGTAAACCCTACTGCACGTTCTGTATGTAATAGTAAACCTTACTACTGTACGTTCTGTATGTAATAGTAAACCCTACACCACGGACATATGTAATAGTAAACCCTACACCACGGACATATGTAATAGTTAACCCTACACCACGGAAGTATGTAATAGTAAACCCTACACCACGGATATATGTAATAGTAAACCCTACACCACGGACGTATGTAATAGTAAACCCTACACCACGGACATATGTAATAGTAAACCCTACACCACGGACGTATGTAATAGTAAACCCTACACCACGGACGTATGTAATAGTAAACCCTACACCACGGACATATGTAATAATAAACCCTACACCACGGACGTATGTAATAGTAAACCCTACACCACGGACGTATGTAATAGTAAACCCTACTGCACGGACGTATGTAATAGTAAACCCTACACCACGTAATTGTAATAGTAAACCCTACATCACGGACATATGTATAATAGTAAACCCTACTGCACGGGCGTTTGTCAGTAAACAACAGTTGTTACCATTCTATAACAATTTTTTCACTATTCTGAGGTTTTCGTTGCTTCGTTAAAGAAATCTTGTCACACTACAGGCAAAACATTAGAGAACATTTTTTGTTTATACCATAACCTCTCTTCATATCTTGATTGATATAACCGTAGCGCAATGACGCCAGGGAACTCCTGTTGACCTCGTAGCCTAACTGGTTAGAGCGACAGTATAACCATTTGAAGTCCAAGTTTTCAGATACAGGGCTACCAACCGTTGAATTCCACTCTTGTAATAATATTGTTTTTATATTTGTTTATTTCAACTCAAATTGTTTTTTCATAAACGTACCATAATGAATGGAAATGATTTCCCAAAGCTGAAACAAGATTTAAATTATTATCATTATAAGAATGTTTGCTTTCAGTAGTTACAGGGGTTTTAGGGTGTGGTAACAGCATCCTTAAACTATGGTCTTTAAAGATAGATTATTACGTTTTTACGGCGAAAAATCTGATGAAACGACATTTTAGCTCTCTTTTAGTGGGCTCTTAATATTTAACTTGGGATTGCGACAGATTTTCACCGACAAAACCACCAAAGAGATTTCAGACGTTGCTACATATGTCCATATCAACACTTCTAAAGGAAGATATACGTACATAGATTAGTATATAGGTTTTCCCCCACAGACAAAGATTAGAGCCTTTCACTTATCAAATGGGGTTTGCTCCACTTTAATTCCGGGCTATGCAATAATCATTTTTCCATTTGCTCTTTAAAAGTCAATATAATACGATTAACTCTCAAACCGGTCTCCTAAGGGATTCAATTTTTTTACAATCTCATCGCAAATACTATGACGTCACTTCAATAATCAAGGAGTAAAATTGAAGTAACGATGTCACACCGTTAAAGCAACAGAATGAAATTACGGTTCGGAATATCCGAATATGAAGCCGATGCAAAATTCTAGAGTCAGTTATATACTCGGGACAACCCGCTTACGCGGAACAACCGGTTGTCTGTTTCTAAACGACAACGTACTGACAACACTACACTATTCGGAAAACTAAGTGACAACAACATACTTTAAGGACAACATAGTGACAACACAAAACTGTTTGGGGGATTGACAACATGAGGTCTACAATGTACATAATGTGCGGCAACTTTACAGCATACATAGTAACAACACCATACTACACGGTGAATTGACAGCATACATAGTAACAACTCTATACTACACGGTGAATTGACAGCATACATAGTAACAACTCTATATTACACGGTATATTGACAGCATACATAGTAACAACTCTATACTACACGGTGAATTGACAGCATACATAGTAACAACTCTATACTACACGGTGAATTGACAGCATACATAGTAACAACACTATACTACACGGTGAATTGACAGCATACATAGTAACAACACTATACTACACGGTGAATTGACAGCATACATAGTAACAACACTATACTACACGGTGAATTGACAGCATACATAGTAACAACACTATACTACACGGTGAATTGACAGCATACATAGTAACAACACTATACTACACGGTGAATTGACAGCATACATAGTAACAACACTATACTACACGGTGAATTGACAGCATACATAGTAACAACACTATACTACACGGTGAATTGACAGCATACATAGTAACAACACTATACTACACGGTGAATTGACAGCATACATAGTAACAACACTATACTACACGGTGAATTGACAGCATACATAGTAACAACACTATACTACACGGTGAATTGACAGCATACATAGTAACAACACTATACTACACGGTGAATTGACAGCATACATAGTAACAACACTATACTACACGGTGAATTGACAGCATACATAGTAACAACACTATACTACACGGTGAATTGACAGCATACATAGTAACAACACTATACTACACGGTGAATTGACAGCATACATAGTAACAACACTATACTACACGGTGAATTGACAGCATACATAGTAACAACACTATACTACACGGTGAATTGACAGCATACATAGTAACAACACTATACTACACGGTGAATTGACAGCATACATAGTAACAACACTATACTACACGGTGAATTGACAGCATACATAGTAACAACACTATACTACACGGTGAATTGACAGCATACATAGTAACAACACTATACTACACGGTGAATT